TTCCCCAAGAAAGTTCACCTGCCTTGACCTGAGCAAACTGGCAGTATTCCGCCCACATGCAAATCATTGAATATTTTTCTTTTTTCTAAACATTACCGTGCCACGATTTGTTTGGCACACAGTCTGGCGTCAGACGTATGTGAGTACAACAATAATTCCGTGAACTGCTTCTATGTAATATATTGCTCAATGACCGACCAGTTTATTTAACTTTGTCCGTTTCAGCTTGCTCCTGACGAATACGGAGTATCGTGCGAAGGTTATTTCCATTCAGTTGTAACAAATGTCTGAGTTTCATCAAACTTATCCTTTTCCTCTCGTTCTTCATGCCCGATCATATAAAAGTAACTTGTCGCATTGATTTTCAAAACGGCAAATGTTGTGTGCAGTTTTGCCCTTTTAATCATCAATAATTCATTGAACTTCGGGGAAACTACTTGTTCAAAATGAGAAATTGAACCAAAAAGAATGCTAAATCAAAGAGATCATTTCGTAAATAGACCTCCGACCGGACCACCAGTGGGAACAGGAAGAATCACTAAAAACAAGATATTTCAAGGTTGTCATGAGAGCCAATTGATAAAATTACGAAGAATAGTATAATATCTGTGTCAAGGAAACCGATATAGGTTTATAAGCATGTGGGATTGGAGTGCATAAGGGGAAACAATCAGAAAACTGTTGTCCAACTACACGAACAGCTCACATTTTATGTACATCAAACGGTATTTTTTCTATTAGTGGAAACGAGTTATTAAGAAATCTTAAACATGCGCAGGAAGTGAATTATTATAAATTAAGGCTTAATTAGGTTGTTAAAGTTGGTTTTCGGTGGGATTAGAAGATTTCATCATCATCATCAGCAGCAGCAGAGTCATCACAGGTGGCCTATTGAGTATAAAAAGCAATTACTCTGTACAACCATTTTCCTCTCGATTAGTTCACTTCCGTATCATTTCACGCAAACTGATCAAGACGATGCAGCCCATTAAATAGGTGACCTTCAACTGGTGATCTACATCATTCGAAATGACTGAGGCGTAGCGATTGAAGATTCTGTCTTCCGAACCCTAGTGAAGGGTCTTGATGATATACGTTCAGGCTTACGAGTTGGATCAGTTGAACTGCCCCAGTTTCTCGCCTTATCATTCATGTTAGATCAGCCCAACAGAGCGATCCGTCGCAACTCGGAAGACGGAGAATCGGTGAAGCTTCGTTTTGAAGTTGGGAATTTCGTGACCAAAGAACCTTATTACTGATTAACTTATCGTGTACTGCACTGAAAAAACTATCGTTCAAAACATAAAATCATCGAGTTTGTAAACAGGATCAATGACTGATATATGTTTCAGAGAAAACATGTGCGGTAAAGTTGAAATGGGATCGGGCACTCATTAATCAATCTTGTCTTTCTATTATGCTCTATCCGTTTTAAATCCAGGACAACACTTTTGTCACCTTGTTTTTACTAACTAAAAAATCCGTTCTTGACATATTCCGCCAAAATTGCATCGAATGAAAAAATGACTGGTTCCTTTACTCAGTGACGTTTGTAGATCGAATTCTGTCAAAACAGGATTTTGATGTCTCTATGGACTTCATTTGGTGGATTTGTGTGAGAGACAGAGGCTCACAAACATTATGAGATTGCATTATACCGGATACATTCAAAGCACAATGTAATTTTCAATGCAAATTTGGTCTAATCAACACTAACAAGCAATCGCTCAAAGGTAAATTCGGGAGACTAATGAAAGTTACGTGGTTAAGAAAGTTCTGAGCAAAGCACAGAAAAACCGAAGCACTAATCAAATAGTTAGAATGAGAATCGGACTATGAAAAGAAAGAAAGCTCTGCATTTGGATCGCCATCACAGCAAATCGCCAAAGCAGTTGAACTGGCGGAAGAGGTTGCACAACAATTGACAGTATTAAGCAGCCACCACGAAAGAATCGGTTGCATCACAAGGGCATTCTGCATGTATAAACAACAACAGTAAATTACTAAAGCCCAAGTGAAATCTGATTGAAATACGTTCTCCGTAACATACCCGGTTCGATTTTAGCTATTGCTTCTGCTCAGAATCTTTTGTCTTGAGAAAACGGTTTTTGTTCAAACGAACTTCCGTTCGACATCGGCAAAATGCGCTCCCAGCGTCCGACCAGTAAATCAGTGTATCGTGCATCACCGTGTCTTTGAACGTGCGTGAATAATGTAAGAAAAATAAACACGCAAAGTTTGCCCTGAAACAAATCTTCGAGCAAGCAAACCTGTCCCGTTCCCTTTATTTTCATCTACTTTATTCTGAAAGTGAGTGGTCAATGCATAGCAGTCATCACATTGGTCACTTTATCCATTCAGCCCTCTGTTTGCTAAAACCAACCAATCTATTGCCAAATAGCAAGGTAAGTTTTGCCGATAAAGGACTTTGTCTCTCACCACTCACTCTGAGAGAGAGAGATAGTTAAAGTTGCACCTCAATTTTTCTATACTACAGGAAGACTTGTCAGACCAGTATTTAACTTTACTATCGATACCTCTTATCTTGTTAATTACTTTTATCATTTCGGCGGTTGGTGATATTTATTATTCTCTCATGAGATTTTGACGATGTTTTCTTGTCCACACTGTTTTGCCCGTCAACCGAGATTACCGATTGGGTGAAAGGCTAAGCATAAAAAGCCAATTGAGCAAGTAATCGTTTGTGATAGAAGGCAACTCCTTCGCCGGGAATTCTCAACGAATCATACTCTTTCGGGCATACTGAGTGGCACTATGGTTGTATCCATCTGCCACCTTTCGAACAGACCTGATTTATACTTGTTATTTTTGGAAACAGAAACTACACTTTTACTTTCCCCCCTCAACCATCCTCAAAAGGAACCGCATTAATTGCGGAGAGTTTCCAAAGAGAAGCACAATTCATTGTATCTATCGGAAGAAACCATGCAACTCACCTCCGCCAGATTGTATCCAAACACTTCACGGAAATATTTGGGCGATTTGGTGATCAAAAGATAGAATGACCAACTCCGAGCGAAATTGGCCACAATAATGGCGTAGACCGGAAGTGAAGTAAAGAACTGTCCCCACGGAATTGGGATTTTCTGTCCCATTGTCAAACAAATATAATAAAACAAAAAGGAATGCGAGAGGATTTATGATTGGGAAATTTAACAACTACTTGGTAAACATTAACGGATAATACATTTCATGTCATTACAGTAGACGCAAAGAAGGTAAAAAATCGTTCACTTGAATTTTGTTGTACGACCTGTGAAAGCATAAAGATTTTCCAGTTGCTAAATAACGTGAACACAAACATTTCGAACAAGCGCGAAATTATAAAATCAAATTCCATTGGACTTTCGGGAAACCCCCGTTCACTTTGGCTAACTTCTGTGAAAGCTTGGACTCACGAACAGTATATTTTGGTCTTGTAACCACAACCCCACATGTTGGGTGGGAATCCGAACCGGTCGACAGGCAGCACTTGAGATCATGATTTTACGGCTTTCAGATAGATATTCCTGGTTCCACTTCATGCGGATTTGCAGAACCCGGTTTTCTGTCTGACTTCAGTGATGGCGAGTGGTTTTTCCACGTTATGTTAACGTGTAACTATTTACCGACAGCCCAAACCGGATGGTCCAAGTGATTACGTGGTCAGATCACCAAACCATATTTTCCGAGGATTTGTGGATTTCCCTGGATTTGTCAGATATCCATGACTGATTACTTGCGACAAGCCAGATGGAGCTGCTGTCCGGGGCTTTTAACGAGACTGGGTAGGAGTCGATACTCAGCATATCACAAGCAAACCCAATCTAAAAAACCGTTTCATGCAACTCTCTTCAATTTGGCCGACGAAGTTACCAACCACCAACTTTGGCCTTTCATTTATGTCACGAATTTTTTCTGCCCTCAAAGATGCTTCTCCTCTGATTTGTCCATGAGCACCAAATGACTGCGGAGCGTCGCTTATTGTCTGCCAATGAATCACTGATCGTGTTTATTGTTCGATAAACTGCCCTTTTTGATTCTGTGTGTACCGCTCGTGCCGGTATTCAAGAACGGGAACCATGTGAGTAGAATGCGGGAACTGATTCTATTTCAATCATCGCCACAAAAATACTAGTTAGAACCACAATTCAATAGTTCGTCAGTTTATTCTGTTACTACAAAATGAATGACATTGCCGATTATTTTGAAGCGCGCTTCAATCTGTTTCGTGGTGCACCGACAATCCTATTGTTTACGGTTGTCAATGAAGACGATGATGATGATTAAAATAAACACGCAGCCAATTTTCCACAAACATTAATTTCCCTTTTGAAATAATAATTAGTCAAAGTATTTTGCCTTCTTAATTTGTTTGTTTCCGTTTTGATATTACCCAACTGTGGTGATCCGGGCCTACGAGATGACGCCCACTCTGGAGCGGCGCGTTACAGTTTTTGGACAAACCTCACGGGTGACGTCGACAACGCGCGTAAGTGTCACTGCTTCTGACTTCATACCATAGGCAGATTGTAGCAGCCAATCAGAGATCGTGTGGCCCAGACAGAAGTAGAATGACGCAAGCAAAACTGGAACATGATTAGTAGAAACCTGGATAACCAATGACCCCAATTTGTACATATTATTTAATCCCCTTAATTTCTTCCAATAAATGAACTACCACTCTTGTGAGCTTTTCGTCGCGTCTCAGTCACGTGGGATATTGCGTGTTAGTGCCAGTGCGGTTCAGTGCTTACATGATCCAGTCCGTGATTGCTAATCCCTGAATGGTGTTCCGAGTTCCATGCGTATTACTACTATTACTACAAACACTATATCAACCTTCTACCATAATCCGGTTTCTAATTCACAACGCACGCAGTTTATCTACTTAACATTTGACAAATCCACCTTGTGCATAAAATTTCCCCCCCAGTGTCTATACATAACAGTCGTTTTCGGCAGACTATGTTTACATCACTACCCACTCCATTGATGGGAGGGAATCAGTGACCAATACAACTGTGCTTTTACTTTGCCCGTATTCATTACTGTTCTCCAACCGTTGCTATTAAGGATAAATTGAAATTTTCTGTCGTGAATATCAGTACGACTAAAGAAAACTCACTCCGGACATTAACTGTACAGTGATATAATCACATCGTATTATCATAGAACAGATTAAAATCAACCACGCGAAAGCTAATTGGGTTAAAATGTTCCTTGGATTATTCATTACTGTCTCTCGCTATTTCGTGAATCACTCTTTGTCCCAGTTTTGCTGAACACGATGGCTCCCCGATATGTGATGATGTGAAATATGAGCGGTGTTCAACACTTCATCCGAACACAATAAAACTATGGAAACTTCTGGTGAGGGTGAATTTAATTAATTCGTCTTCTTACTTCCGTAGGCGTCTGTTCTCAAGATTTTTGACTTTTATGCGAATAAGAAAAACGTTGCTGGTCGCAATGATTACCCTGTGACCATTGGAATATATAAACACTGGGATCAAAATCTAAAGCAGCGGCAGTGAAGTTTAGTCGACCGGAATCCAACACCTAAATACAACTGTACGAATCCGTATATATACCCAATATCCTCCCCACCTTTGGAACACTAAGCTGAATTAAAAACTTGTCCTGATTGGTTGCATATCCACTGTGGAAATTCGGCGCTGGATTAAACGGGAGGCGTTTCTGATTGGTGATATTAACCGTGCTACTGGGTGGTTCTGTACTCCAGACTGTTTGTCTCACGAGAGAAACTTACGAACCGGATCATATGATAAGCAGCCGAGGCGAACAGCACAATTTGGAAGAGGACAGCTACTGGTGAATGCACAACTACCATCAGCCCTGCCCAACTTTGTCCGATGAGCTTTCTTTGGATGCACCGATAGATTCCCCTCCTCATAAAGTACATAGATGTACACGTAGATGAGTTCTCTCTTTTTCATCGGAAAAAGAAACAAACTCATAACCCCCCCCCACCCCACCCCTATCCCGTGAAATCAGTTTTTATATGCATCCTATACACATCACGTTTGCGAAGCTAGCTTTGGATATACCCAACACGAGCTCATATTCACCATCGCTGTCATTCACCCGACTGTTTGCCATTGTCCATTAGCATACTGAATGGTAATATCTATTCACCCACGCCTACGGAAGCTAATGTTTCGATCTACGGGCTACGACAAAACACACCGGCTATACAAAATACGTGGTCTATACACTGGAAGTGAGGGGAACACAATGAAGTGTGTGACTTGACAGTTTTCATTCATTCCCCTTTCCCTCCCTGTAAAAACCATCGCGTACGAGAGAAAATCCAACAATGATAGGCACGTGAGTCAGCTGATATTATTTTGAAATCAGGCCAAATCCAATTAACCGTAAACGCATGCATAATGCTGGACTAAATTGACAGATAACCCATAGGACAGACGAACACACTCGATGGATGATTAATGACTGGATAGAGAAAACAACAACAGAATTCCAGGTAATCGGTGGAGCCATGCATCAGATTGATTGTGACTCTGCCCTTCTCATGTCGCTTTCTGGACGCTATGTGGGAAAGTGAGTAATAGATGGCGGATGTTTGGTGATAACAGAATGGTAGAATATATACATGTGCGTGTGCAGAACCTGAATAAACCAATGAATTGTTATATA